ATTGCCCTGAAATACTTAGTATTTCCCAACAGACTCAGGCTGGAGGAGGTCACAGAGAGGATGTGGCTTCCAGTTGACCTGCAAGTTGAATCCCGGCACTCAGGAGGCTCCTCACTCCTCCCCCGTGCTTGGAATGTACATTCTGCCCACCATCCCCCTGGGGAGCATGTGCAAGGATGCAGCCTTGAGAGAGAGAGAGAGAGAGAGTAAGGTGTTGTTGAGACCATCTGGACTGAGGACTTGACTGAGCCCAGTTAAAGCCTCAGAGTAGAAACACAGGCCTGAAAAACATAAATTTTTAAGGTTCTGGCCGGTGGGTACAGAGATCTACCCCTCTGGCCCTGTGGAAAACAAGCCTCTTATGTAAGTTTCCTTACTTATTACATCTTTCACCTACCAACCTGGAGGTCTCCCTCTTTCTTCCTTCTCCTTGCCTTCCATGTGTGGGGACCAGTTTCAGATTTCATTCAGGGAACAACCAGGGTTGTAACTCATTATCAAAATTCTTAGAAAACAGGAAGTATGGTGTAACAGGGCCCATCTTCTCCAGCTACTGGGCCTCCTCTGCCCTTCTCCTCACAGCCACACATACTCAAGGGGTATACTTTTTATTTTCATTTTACAGACGAGGACATTGAGGTTCAGAAACACAATGAACAGGGTTTAAAATGCCTGTTGTGCTACTTAAAGAGCTATGGATGGTAGCTCTGTGGGAGCTCGGGGCTGGCCTGGATTGAACACAATACAGGCGCCTGGGGACCTCTGAGGGCTGCCACCACCCATCCACGTTCATACAGGACACTGTCATCTCAGGAGCCTCTGATGAACGTGTGCTTTCCCCTGTGCAAGAAAATAGCCTCTAAGGGTAGGGCAGACAGCAGTGGACAAGGGAGCTCTACCATGCCAAAACTTGAAGGTGGCTTTTTCCTTTGATGGTTTTACCAAAGTATTTCGAAAAGCCCAGACAGCTGTCTCCACCACAACTCATTTGAATAGCCTCACTCACAGGAGCATCTATTCTGTTCATATTCAAATATTTACACATTTTTCAGTTTCCATCTGTAAAAATGGGTGTCCTCTGCACTCTGTGTTTCTAACACCATAGTGGAAGGAAGGGATTCATTTTCTAGCCACAAAGTAGCCACACAAGGAAGACCAACAAGTTCTGAGTGTGGTGTTTCAGCCAGCTGGAACCTCCTAGCTAGCAAATGCACTCACTCCGCGCCCTCTTCCCTTGTTTCCTGGGTCATAAGATGCAGTCCTCCCTCGGAGACTGGTCAGGATGCTCTAAGGAGCACTGTTCTGCCTTTTGGGGGGATGGGGGCGGAGTCTGGGCCACTGCTTGCTTTGCGGGCTGCCTTGGTAGTTGGGATAATTAATAGTGAATTTCCTCCCCCTTACTGGAATGTGCATGTGGTAGAAAAAGAATTGCCTCTTACAGGTCTCAGGGAGGCAGCTGTGAAGCATTGGAGAGGCTTCCTGGTTTGTAACATCTCAAGCACCTACTCTGAGTTGTTACTTAATGTAACTCACTTGGTTTAACGTGCACTTTATCTGCCTACTTATGAGCAGTTTTGCTGTCTCTACAGTTGGAAGAACTGGGTTTCATGACTGATTATTATTCTTATTACAGATTTAATGGTTCCAAATTGTGGACGATGATCTCTTTTATCCTGACCACTTCGGAAAGTTTTTTTCCCCATGGAGAAAACTGATAGCAGTTTGAACAAAGTTTACTGGGCACTTACTGGCAGTTACATTCCTAGGCATGGGGCAGAGGGATGCAAAGAAAAGTGCAACAGTGTTTCTGCCCCCAGGGAACTTACCATCGAGTTCTCAGGGTGGTCCCCAGACCAGCAGAATCAGCGGGATCATCATGCTAGAAATATAAATACTCAGGCCCCATTCCAGACCAACTGAGTCCAAAACTCTGGGGGTAACCCCCAGCCATCTGTGTTTGAAAAAACCTGCTTCAAACAAAGATCATCCTCATCAAAGGTCAAAACGACAAGTATGTGGTTAACTTATTGAGCTAAATCTAAAAGTGTCATTTGTCCTTTGAGGAAACAGGCCCGGAGCCCAAAAGCCACATGAGGAGTTGGTGGAGAAACTGAAACCAGAACTCAGGTCTCCCACCACCACCCCCAGCCCTGCATGGCCAAGGTTCTTTCTGTTTCTTTTCTGGTGCTTTAAATCCTAAATCTTATGGGGAGCCAAGTTTTGCCAATCCAAAGTGCAAACACTGGTTTTCAAAGACAACAGAGAAACTGGTCACTTTGAAAATAAAGACCACTAACAAAAATTAAAACCTGATATATCAAAGCCATCCAAACCTTTAACACACATCCAAGTTTCATTTACAATTTGAAAATTGCGGCGGGGGGGGGGGGGGGGGGGGGATAGGGAGAAGGGTAAAAATACAAGGAATAATGTGATCAGAATATAGTCTAGAAAAATATATAGTATGCGGAAATGTCAACAGTGGTTCACCTTCTATGGGAGAATTACAAACGATCTTCCATTTCTTCCTTTGTATTTTCCTGAGTTTTTCCCAATGGTTATTTATTACTTTGGTATCAAGAAAAAAGTAAAACCACTTTTTTGAAATGTTACATCCATAATCACGCAACATAAAGGTTTATTTTGTAATTCTATTTCTTTCCATACAGCAGGATAGTGTGTGTGTAGTAATTATTTATATCATGCCATATGTTACAATGAAGATGAAATTCGGTAAATATATTCCATCCAGCTGGCACGGAAAATGAAGAGGTTAAATGCTTTCCTAGGTTCAAAGCACTATGAATTAAGATGAGCTAACTGTGAAGCTAAAGGAAAAATTAATCCCAGTGTTGAGATCTCTGAGAGCATCTCTTTTGAAAAACATTGATGTGACACATAGCTCCTTACTCATATCTCCCTGATGTTGAACCCCTGGCACCATACAGAAGGTTTGGCAATTCCTGGCAAAGTCTTAGGAGTTCAGGGGATAAAATGCATGGGAGAATATCAGAGAAATAAGAAAGAGAATGATCCTATTTTTATATAAAAGTCTGTTCCTGTGGACAGTAAGACATCCGAAATTACTGACAAATTTCATTGTCCTAAATATCCTTCAAAATTTTTTTCTTTCTCAAGAAATGTTTGCTCATTTAAAAAAATATCTATATTTGCCATCTCATTCCACAAATCATAAATAAATAAATAAATAAGGACTGTCTCATTTAAAGAGATCTTTCTGCCACAAAAGCATTGTTGCCATGCTTCACTTGATAAGATAAATTTGTGCTGGAAGAAAACCTAGCATTGTTTTACTGAAACTCTCAGCAATATAAATTCAGTGCGTGCTAATTAAAGTTTCTTAAAGGAGACAGGGAAGTAAAGTTAAGAACAAATGTAATTACTTACTATGGAAAAGAAAACGCCAGTGGCTACCTACTTCAGAAAAATACCTCACAGAAGCTGACATTTCTAGAATTTCCAGACACTTTCAGAAAAGGACAAATTATTTGGGGTAAAAAAATATATATAGTAATACACCAACATTTATAGTACATAAGCTCACCAGATCTACACCACAGTTCAGCTTAGTAACATCAGAGAACGCAGAAAGAATTTACAAATTTACCATCTCGGTTTTCACTGTTTAGCATGTGAGCGTTTCCTTACAAAGGTAAATCTCTGAAGAGTCTCCAATTTCCCTCAGTCCTCTACTTGCTTTCTCTCACAGGCCAGTCCCACCCATTACAAAAATAACAAATTAATAAAAAAGAAGAAAGAATATAATGACTATACCACTCACAGAAAGTTTCTCACCAACCCCCCAGTGCCCACTCCATATAATTACCTATCTACCTGGGAAAATTGGTCCATAAAAGCCTTACCTATTAAGCCAAATCTGACAGTTTCCTTTCAGTTTAACACTTTTTGACAACACACACAAACCTGTGGCTCAGACTCTAACTCCATCCGGACACTTATAAGCCCATTTCTTATTCTTCCATCTCTCATGAGCCCCCTCTGCTAAGAAAAAGGGTCCAATCCTTTTGGGACCCTAGGAAAGTAGGTCCCAGTTTACCTACTACTGCTTATTTTTGCAGTTTTACTTTCGGACTGCTAAAAGGTATTGATCAGAAACTATCTGCAGATCCAGCTGCTAAGCACTGATAAATCCTGAGGGAACAATTCCAAGCCAAGAACAATACCCCAAATATCTTAAGTTTGTAGCGTGGAAATGCCACTCGTCTCAACAAGAGAGAAGGAAACAACGTTCCTACTCCATCAAAATAAAAAATAATAAGTAGAAGATTCATCATCTTCCATTCTGAACAAAATTAAATTTTCTGGGTCACTTTCCTTTCCTGTCTCACTGGGCCACTTCTTACGCAGCCTGACAGTGACGGTAAACACGGTCCTTCACACAACCCTTTCAGCTGTCATCCTCACGGAGCAAATACCCACCCGTCCGTTTCCTGTCGCGGTCCCCAACGACAGACCTCACCACCCACCCCTGCCCTCCACACCTCGCCTGTCGCTTGCTTTTCTTCCAAACCACAAATGGGTGAGCTTATTCAGAGAAAAAGTTAATGAACATCTGCTTTTGAGGTAAAACTGCCCTACCTGTGATCACGGAATCAGAAGATTGGAAGTACCTAAAAGCACGTACCCTCTGCCAGCTCGCCCCGGCCGGCCGGTGAGCGCCTCACACCCAGAAATCCAGGAACATGATTTATATGCAGACCTGCACCCGTCCCACACAACTCCACACGCCAGCTTGCCTAACCACTTATGTAAGCTCGTGCCTCTATAGTCCCAAACTGCGCACACACACACACACACACAACCCCGACACCTGTCACGTATCTGCAATGGACAAGCATCTACACCCAGGAAATTAAATGAAATCAACACACATGAACTGGAAGGGTGAAGGGCATACCGTTTTAAAACATCTTTTCCCCCATTTGTTTCTTGCTCATTTCTGTAACAACTACAATTACCTTAGCAACCAAAGAATTGCGTTGACTCCCCCTCCGGTTTCTGAATTTCTCCTAAAGACAAGCTTGCGCCAGGTTCATGGTAAAGCTAGAGGAGTCCAGGGATCAAGGGGCCGGCAGCTTCTTGGGGGCGGAGAGGACGCCTGGGTTAGTCTCCGCGCGGCTCTCCAACGTCTCGCCTGGTCTTCCCGAGTTTCCGCGGTGGAGAGCGCGGGGTCTCAGCGAGCGGACCGCGAAGCCCGAAGCCGGCGCGGAGGCGCGGTGGGTCGCATGGTGTCAAGGGCGCAGGTCGGTCGGGTGTCTCCAGCGCGCTGGGGATGGCCCCGCTCTCCGCGCTCCTGGGCGCTCCCCGCTCGCCCGCCTCTGTCGCCCCAGGCCGGCGGGGTCCGTAGAGCTCGGTCCGCCCCCTCGGCGCCCGCCCGCCTGCTCCCGCAGCTTCGGGAATCCGGCGCCCGGGAGGAGCTCTCGCCGCCGAGCAAGGCCGAGCGCAGGAACTGCCCCAAGTCGCGAAGGTGCTCAGCTCCGCCGCTCGGGAGCTGCCACAGCGGCGCCCGCTGTCGGGTGTCGAGCGAAGCTGCAGCCGGCGCCGTGCGCACCTGGGCTCTCGCACCTGGGCCCCGACAGGCGCGGAGCGGGGCGGGGCGGCGGCCCGGGCGGGGCCGAGGCACCTGAGCGCAGCCTAAGGGCGCCGCTGCCCGGCTCACCTGTTCCCAGCGTCGCGGAAGGTGCAGATGGAGATTTGCCCGAGAAAGGGGAAAAAAACCCTAGAAATTCCTGACACTTGAGCTCCGGCGAGAAAACTGGCAGAGCGACTCAGCGGGGCGGAGGCTCCTTCCGTCAATTCCGAGAGCTGGCTGCGACTGGAAACTTTGGTGGCGTCAGGGTTGTCTTGGGGATTCCTGGTCCGGAGTGGATTGCCCGGTAGTTCTTGAATCCCTCGCTGACGTGTAGCTGGCGCCCTCTAAATTAAAACGGGCCACCGCGATCCTCAGGGATAGTGTTACTCACGTCGTCATTTTTATTGTTTCAACATTTACACCACATGCTGTATTTGGAGTGTTTTATGAGCCTTCTTATCGAGTACACCACAAAAGAACTTTCAAGAAAATTTAACTCTGCAAATAATCTTGGAGAAGAAGAGAAAAAGTAGGAGACAGAAAATGAGAAAGGGTAACTTGAATTGACGGCCTTCTTTAATGTGGGAGCTTTGAAATTTGATGCTTAGTTAAGGATTCAGGAAGCTGCAGGTGGAAATAGAACAAGATTGTTGGTGCTGGACGGTAACCATGGGACTGATGTGCAATACCGATGTTATCAACATCAAGGATAAATTCAAGATTTATTCTTATATTGTATTGTGTCACCAGGAAAAAAAAAAAAAACCTTGCAAATAAGTATCTAGGTTCCATTAAGGATGGATAACCTGGACTCCCTTCATCCATATGGGTCCAGAGGTGGAAATCTAAGGTCTCCTTCCCAACATACATCTCCTTTCCCGCCATTCTACATTCATTAATGGATGTATTCATTCTTTCATCCAATAAACTATAATTAGCATATACCTTGTGTTAGACCCTCTGCTAAGCACTAGAAATGGATGGCAGAACAGTCTCTGCCATCCAGGCCCCCAACCTAACAGTGCACAAGATATGTGTATTACCGTGGGCTAAGTCCTTGAGAACTAGAGAGAAACATGCAACCGAAAGAAACCACACCCAACCTAGTGAGTAAAATATAATTTCAATAAATTCCCCAGTTATTTCACTTATTAAGTTGAAATGTAAAGTCTTTCCTTCCCCAGGTTTAGCATCTGGCTTAAGCGTGGCTGAGAAGCTGGCTGTGGCTCCACCCTTAGAGCATAGGCTGCTTACTGAGAAATAGGGGGTGACAGGGGGCTCTTCCTCTGTGGGGAGCTCTGAATATCTGAGACCAGCAGCTTCTTGAGGGTCAGGCATGAGGGAACAACCACGTGGAAGTATGAGCAAAGGGATCCAGGTGTATCTGAAGAAAGGCCTTTCTGTGGACTTCCCTTAATCCAGTAGCATCAAAAATAATAAAAATAATTAGGAATAAATTTAATCAAGGAGGTGAAAGATCTGTATACTGACAATTACAAGATATTGAAGAAAGAAATTGAAGATGACATAAATAAATGGAAAGGTATCCTGAGTTCATGGATTGGATAAATTGATATTGTTAAAATATTTGTACTACCCAAAGTCATTTATAGATTTCATGCAATCCCTTTCAAAATTCCAATGGCATTTTTCACAGAAATAGAAACAAAACCCTAAAATTTATATTGACTCACAAAAGACCCTGAATAGCCAAAGCAATCTGGAGCAAGAAGCACAAAGCTGGAGATGTCACAATACCTGATTTCAAATTATATTACAAAGCTATAGTAATCAAGACAGTATAATACCAGTGTAAAAACTGAAAAAGAGACCAATGGAACAGAATAGAGAGCCCAGAAATAAACCCATGCATATACAGTCAACTAATATTTAACAAGGGAGCCAAGAACACTCAGTAAGGAAAGGATAGTCCCTTCAATAAATGGTGTTTATTGAAAACTGGATATTCATAAGCAAAAGAATGAAATTGGACCCCTATCTTACATCACTCACAAAAATTAACTCCAGATGGATTAAAGACTTAAATGTAAGACCCCAAACTGTAAAACTACTAGAAGAAAACATAAGGAAAATCTCTTTGACATTCGTCTTGGCAACAATTTTTTAATCTGATGCCAAAAGCACAAGCAACAAAGCAAAAATAAATAGGTGAGACTACATCAAACTAAAAAGCTTCTACACGGCAAAAGAAACCATCAGCAAAATGAAAAAGCAACCTACAGAATGACAGAAAATATTTTCAAACCAGCTATCTGATAAAAAGTTAATATTCAAAATATATAAGCACTCATACAACTCAATAGCAAAAAAAATCTGATTAAAAAATAGACAAAGGACTTGAATATAATTTCTTATATATGTATGGAAAATATCTGATTTTTCATAAAATGTTTGATTACACATATGTACATATGTATCACACAATACACATATATACATACTACACATATTTTAATAATGATATATAATTTTAATTTATATATTTATATTATAAATATAATTTATATATAATGATAAAAATAACTAACTTAATAGGGACAGACCACACTTTTTCCTGGCATGGCCAAGAGATTGGTTTACATACTGGGAAACTGAGCAAACAAGTAAATATATCAAGGATATTGAGAGCAGGTTTCTCACTGTTGGAGGAGGGAATTACAGATATAAAAAGGGGAAAGATTATAATAAACTCAGTGAAGTGGCTTGAAAATAGAGGTGATAGTATGAAATGATTTTTAATTTAGGTAGATAGAAAGACATATATACTTATGTATGTGTATATATACATTGATATATTTCCTAGCTCTGTCCACCAAGAAATCCTGAAAGCAATAGCACCCAGTACAGTAAACACACTTAGAACTCAGATTTGTTTCTAAATACCATTCTCCACCAAGAGGAACTATGGCTTCATGTGTAGTGGGTGAAACTGGACTTTGTTGAGCAAAAAAATAAGAAGGTACTTAAAGAATTATGGAGATATGGCAAAAGAATATAGGAGCCAGTTTGAAGGGGTTCCCACAGGCCAAATCTAGGACCATTTAAGCATCAAAATAAATAATGACAGCAGCAGATTGCAACCTTTGCGTAAAATAGGAATCAACGAGGCCATGCTGATAGAAAAAGAGAAAAAAAAAAAAGAGAGAAAGGAAGTTCTACTGGTAGAATGCAAAAAATAGATGAAGAAAGAAAGGTAGAATTAGAAAATCACCATTTTGCAACCATTATCATAATAATTGATTCAGGTCAGAATCATCAATGGATACTAAAATTAGTGGGTAAAAGTTTGATGAGGGACAGGATATTTATAGTCTCAAAGCATGTGCCTAAAAAATTCATTAATTCTCATTAATATATTATTATTTATTAATAAACACAACATACTTATTAATTAACAATCACAGCTATAATACTTGGGAGATACCATCTTAATCAACCGGCAAAAGTTTACATAAATAAAGAACAGTAATGGGAAAAATCACCCTTGTGTTGTGTCCTGATACAATATATAATCTTTAAAGTAAAAATTGTTCCAGACTGGAGGATGCTAAAGGGACAGCTAAATGCAGGAGATGATCTTGACTGGAATCCAAGATCTATAAATGACATTAATGGCATAATCAGCGAAACTTCAATGCATTCTGTTGAATTAAATTGGATCAATGTTATTTTCCTGATGTTGAGATTGTACTTTATTTAGGAGAGTTTCCTCATTTTTAGAAAGTACACACTGAAGTATGAGGGGGCAAACGGGGCATCACATCTGCAACTTAATCTCAGATGGTTCAGAAATGTTAACAACTCGAAGGGTATACGGGAGCTCTTTGAACTATTTTTGCAACTTTTTTGTAATTTAAAATGATTTCAAAATAGAAGATTTTTTAAGAAGATACATTACCCAAAAAACCATCTTCTCTTTTCAAAAAATGTTCACCATGGGTTTTCTTTAAGAATCAACTCCCTGTGAGCTGTATTGAAAATATGATTTGGTCTACTACTTCGGGAATGTATACAATGTGATTCAGCCCAACATTTCATTCATTCACTCAGCAGTTATTTCTTAAGGGCGTGCTGCATATAAGGGTCTTTCCCAAAACTCATCTAAAGTATAAAATGAAATAAGTTTATAGTTAAAATCTTGAATCCTTTTACTACTTCATTATCAATTCCTGATTCATAATCAGGAGTTGCAGAAAAGTATGTAATAGAATTGATTGTGGTATAGCTCTCAAACTGTGTGACAAATCGAACAGAAGAATGAAAATGAGTTGACAATTTAGTTTCAATAATTGTATTGGCAGGAGAAGGTAGGAAAATATGGTTAGTGTCAATGCATTTGGTGCATGAGTTTACGGCAGTGGATTTGGGGAGGATAAGGAGTCTGGTATCGTGTGGCCTATTTTCCAGGACTGTGAAATTATGACACTTGACGGCCGATGCTGCTTTTCCCTCAAGCCCCCACCTTTCCTTTTTCTCACTCTTTAATGTTGTCTTTTTTTCTGAGAATTAAGAGCTGTTTTCTTTGCACTTTGGCAATAAAAGGAAAAAAAGATTCTGAGTTAGGTTTTTCCCCCTGTTAAAGCCTGAAAGAAAATTAATTTCCTGTTTAGATATTTTAGAGAGAGGTCTTTCTTAAAAGGGTCTTTCTTGAAGGCCACAGCATCTGTATCACCTGCGGTACTTAGTAAAACTTAGCAGTAAAGATTCTCAAGTACCTCCTCAGATCTGCTGACTTGAAATTTCTAGTGATGGGACCTGGGAATCTGCCTTTGAACAAATATTTGCATTGGTTTGAAAACTGGCACCATACACGGAGGGCAGGGAGAGACTGAAGAAAGAGACAGACCCCTCCAGATTGGCAGGTGGCAGTTTTAACAAGCAAGGAAACTTACATAAGAGGCTTGCCTTGGGCAGCTGTAAGGCAAGTAGATTTCCACACCCCTCCAGAATCTTAAAAGTTTACACAGAGGCCTTACCTGGGTTTAG